TTATTTCAAATATATATAATTTAATTATAATAAATCATTTCCAAATTTGGAAAATTAAAATTAATTATATTTTTTTAAAAAAATTAAAATTAGAAAATAAAAAATGAAAAAAAATAAAATAAAAAGGCCCATTGAAAAATTAGTTATCCACTAACTGATTTTTCAATGGGATTTAACAAAAAAATTCAAATTCTATTGAGAATTCGATTACCTAATAACCGATTTTTCACCTGGACCTAGAAACAAATCATTTAGGTAAATAAAAACTGGTCTAGGTTATTAAAATAAATAAAAAATAAAAAATAAAAATAAATATTTAAAAAGAAAGTCCCCTCACGCACGCCGAACCAATTTAAATCAGATTTGTGTAATAAAATGTTGATAAGAACATTCCTATATCCTCCGAATTCAGAGCAAAAATACAGTCCTAAATTTTAAAATATTAATATTTTTTTAATAAATTTATTATTAAATAATTATTTAATTTAATATTTTATAATTTAAATTTTTTAAACGTTCGGAGAATATGTTTCGGACAATTCAGTCGAAGGATGAAGAATTTCTTTTGATAAGGGTCCGTTGACGTTAAATCTTTGTGTAGTCTTTGTTTGTTCGAGAAGAGCGTGAGTACAAATCCTTATCGGCTGCTATTTGCTTTTGGGCATTTAGTTACTGTGCGTCTAGAAGATCACCACAGCAACTAACATCATTTACAATAATTATTCTGCAAGTAATTATGTTGTTTAAAATATGTAATCAGGTATTCAATTTTTACAAATTCGTATATAAGAAAAAGCATATTGATTTAGGCAGAAAATTAAAAAACAATTTTATTACAAGAAAATTAAGGTGAATTTACCCTGCCTTCAATCTAACCACATCCTAAATAATCTTTGAAAGTGGATTATTAGCTTAAATCTTATTTATAAAATTAATTTATAAGATTATTAGGATTATTCCTCCACTTATATATATATATATATATGATCTACTTATTTTAGGTGTAAGTTTATCTAAACTTATTTCATTCAATAATTCATGTTTTACATCAAATTTTAACGATTCAATTGTTGAACTTAAAGTTTTTAATGTATAGATCAAATCTACAAATTTTAAAAACATTTTAAAGTCATTTGATACTTTGTTTTATTAATTCAAATCAATGTATAAAATAATTTTATAATTATTCGTTAATTTGATGAATTAATGAAATGCGGTATCAAATGATTTTTAAATTTTTTTAAAAATTTACAGACTTGATCTATACATTAAGAACTTTAAATTCAACTGTTGGATCGTTATATAGGGCATGAGTTATTGAACAGAATAAGTTTAGATAGATTTACCTATAAAATAAACAGATTTATCCTCATATGTATATATATATATATATATATATATATATATATATATATAGAGAGAGAGAGAGAGAGAGAGAGAGAGAGAGAAATTCACTTACTCTAAGAGTAAGTTTATCTAAACTTATTTCACTTAATAAATTATATTCTACATTAAATTTCAATGATTTAACTATTAAATTAAAAGTTTTTAATGCATAACTCAAGTTTACAAAGTTTTAAAGAATTTGAAAATTATTTGATACTTTATTTTATTAATTCAAATCAATGTACAAAACATTTTCCATCAACCTAACCCACTAACAACTCATTGACAACCCACTAACAACTCATTTAACTATTTATTATTATATATGTATTATTTTAATAAGATATTATTTGCTTATAGATAAAGATAAAATTAATGTTAAACAATATAAAATTGCTATAAATTTATTTACCTAAACCTCCAATAAGTTTTAATATTGATGAATAATCACTCATGAAAGGATTTTTATTTTTTTTGTTTTGATTTTTTAAAATTATACACTTTTAAATTTAAGTTTAATGTTGTATCCATGATACTTAGGGAGGTGTATTGGATTAGGATTTTAAAGGACTTTTTTAGTTAAAAAAAATCCTGCGGATTTTAAAAGACTTTGCAGGATTTTCATGACTTTTAAGATTTTGCAGGATTCTACAAGACTTAAAATCAAGTTTTTAATGGATTTTGCAAGACTTTTAAATCAAGATTTTAATGGATTTTGTGAGATTTTGTGGATTTTGTAGAATTTTCATGGATTTTTTACATTTAATAAAATTTCAAAAAAATTTTCATACATTCAAATTTAAAAAGAGTCAAATAAAATTTCAAATTTAAAAATTTCAAATAAAGTTTGATAATTTTTACTTTAGATTAGAGATTATTTTATATTAAAATTTATTTTAAATTAAAATAATTTTAAAAAAAGATTAAGTGGGTTGGTGGGTCGGCCTGTTTAGTCTTATTTATACTTTTAAAAGTTATATATAAAATTTTTAATATTATAAATATATAAATAATTATTGC